GGGCGGGGCTGGTGGTGTACAACAGTAACTTCGAAGTCGATATGAAAAGGGGCCTTTGTCTCAACCTTGGCGTTACAAAGCATCACCGCTTTAAGGTATTTGATTAACTTTACCGCAGTATAATACTTTTTAATCTCTCTCCTTTAACCAGGCCCCAGTTGTGAGTCTCACACGCAGGTGTCTGATCCAGTTTCCCGGGTGGAGTGTTTAGTTTGCCGTCTCCCCAAAGGGAAACGCCGATAATTAAAGGTTTCACTCTCCTTTGACTGCAGAGAGGTACTCCAGTGTTAGCGGGGCCAAACCCTGACTCCAGCACTCTGACCTGCTAACTCAACACAGCCCTGAAATATTAATGAAGCAAATTGGTGTTGTCAGCTCCCATGAAGTAGATGCTAACCTATGAGCACGTGTGTGAATACCCAACAAAGGATGATGCGCTCGGCTTCTCCCCGACTGGTCAAGCGGTGGGTCTGTTGCGCCAGAGATTCCTACTCTCTTAGCGCCATTAGGGCTGCGGTGAAAAAGCAACCGAAGAGATTGACTGACTGAGCCACACACGTTCGGCCCCTGCTGCGGTTGCCGTTAACAGGCGAGAACTACGGCACTCCGGCGTGCTCACCTAAAGACGAGCCTGTGATCCGGCTGTGATGAGAGGCCGTGCCGTCTTTGTTGCACCGATCAGATCACTGTACGAGGCAGCTGCCACGATCCACACTGCTCTCCCCCAGCGGACTTTTCACTGACACCCCCGTATGAGCATGCATTCATGGAAATCTGCACATACGTGCATAGGCTCAATCACCCTTCCACAAGCAGGCCCGTTACACACACACACACACACACACTGCCTGATATGCCTGCTCACATCAAAGAGAATAAACATTAATGGCAAATAGGTAATCTGTTCCTCTTGTCTGTTTTACATTTCAGGGCAAGATTGACTGCCTCTGGGGGACCCGGCGCTTCTCTGATTGAGGGCAGGAATAAAAGGAGGAAGGGAGAGAAGAGAGGCAGGTAGCTCCAATAAATAGTAAACGCATGATGGAGCATTATTCTTATTTCATGGATCTTTCTATTTTTTATTGATAGGCGAGGGATCCAAAAGAGGGTAATAAGAATCCTCACTTCAACCCGCGCCGGCCGGCCGCGGTTCTAATCTTTCCTCCTGGTATATTCTGTTGTGGACGTGATTATTCCCATTTCTTTTGAATAATATCCCTCTCGAGTCCATCTCCTGCTCCCTACGCCGCTCGCTTTCCCAACTGAACCGGCACTTTTCCCCATTCTCCCCTAACTTTTCATCTCCTCTCGTCTCTCCCCTCTCATGTCACCGTCTCCCAGACGCTCCTTCGCATTCTGAAGGTGGAGCAGGTTCTGGTGCGCGGCCAGGTGCGGGGTGGCAGGCGGCGCCTTATATCTTGTCTAAGTATCAATCACAAGGTCCTGTCCACTCAATCCTCCTCTGATCCATCAGAGAGCCGCTCACACAGTCTCATCCGCACATGCACGCACAAACACACAGAGCCCTGACAAATGGTGGTCACGGCACCGAAGCATTGTGCAACATCTATTAAACTTATAGGGTGTTGGACAGGCAGTGTCCAACGTAGATGTACAGGCTTGAAAATTGCAAAATGTCTCCTTATAAAATAACCCTGTTAAGTACTGAAAGGCTGGATAAAGTTTAAACAATTAAGAAAATCTGCGTACTAAGGAGTAGACAGCTAATATGTAAACTGATCAGATTACTGCAGATTAGTAAAAATATCACTAGGTTGACACACAAAATGTTATGACAAGAATGTGCCAGTTAACAAATCCCAGGTATAGCAACAACAACAACAAAAACTAAATAGTGATTATAATGCAATGACTGTTTAAAGGAAAGAAAGACTACTAAGAAAGACACTTAAATTTGCCGCCATTCCACTTTCCTACAATTTAAGACATTTAAATGAGATTCTAGAAAAACTGTTGGAGTGGATCCAGTTTAAGAATTAGTTTAGACAAAATGACAATCTTGTGTTTTCCAAATAACCAATCCATGCAAAAAGACAGAACATTATTTTGAGGAAGTAATCCTTTATAAGCTTTGACTTAATTAGCAATCAACTTTTTCGGAGAATTGATTCTGATACTTAACAATTACCACGGCGATTGATAAGTTAATCGTTTAAAGTGGTAAAATTGTGCATGAAAGCATAGTGCCAATCACAACAAAAATCTGACATATTGCTGTTTAAGCTACTTATTTTAAATACAAAGTGCCATGAATAACAATATTCCTTATGAGCGTCAACAGTAAGTTCGGCTTACTACACTAGCAGGAACAAGTTGTGTTAATTTTTGGCTGGTGTCGTCTGTGTCAGGAACCAGGGATTGTTAGCTGATCAGCAAACCGCTTGCAGTGTTGTTTGTTAGAACATGCTAGCTTAGAACGTGGTCACGTTAACTCTGGTCAGCATGGCATAAGAGCGACTCATTAGAACTGCTACTTTTTATTGAATCAATAGTTAGCATACCAGCCTCCTGCATTCAACCCTACATGGCTGAAGGTCCACCTGCTTTCTGATTAATTTAGATAATTATTACTTGACCAGTTGGGAGATCTCAAATTGAACTTTAATCATTAGACATTCAGTTTCCATTAAGTTTGGAAAAACAATTAAACGAGATGATGCCAAAGGCATCATAAAATTGCAAATTTGGCACCTTTGTCTCGACACACACCGACTACACGAAATGAGGTAAATCACAGGTGACACGTGTAATGTTCTGCCAAAATGTTCTTCATTTCTTTACGTTTTACATTTAGGTGAAACACATTTTTAGATACACCAACAAGTACGGCGAAACAAGAAACAGTGTGACAGCAGACAAAAACAGACAAAAACCACAAACGTTTTAAACCTACAAACTGGAGACGCCATCACTCATCCGCATGAATTGATAATTAATGCTCTCGTTTTGCACATCCCTAACTCCGCCTCACACACTCCCCCCACCACCAATCCCCAAAACACACTCCCTCACTAACGTCGGCCAGTCCACCTGCTCCTCGCTCACCATTAAGCCGATTACACAACGGAGCCCTCCTAATCACAGCACAGCGTTTTGCAAACAGCGACGTTCACCGTCGTCCTAAATCTCCCCAAATCCCTTCCACCTTTCATCCCGCGACACGCCAGTGATGCCACTTTGCACCGACGTTTTAATCGGAGGCAGTTCCGCCGAGTGACGGACTCACCGCCGCAGAGAGTTGGGAGACACAGACGCTTGAAACAAAACCACTCGTCCGAATCCCCTCAGCGGTTGCAGTTCGTCGCTTATTCTGTGGCTGGAGAGTGGAAGTGTGGTGTCTTTTCATGACACCATCATCCACACGTGTCAAAGCGTCTCTGTTGCATAATCCATTCATCCCAAAATCTCTGTAATGAAGATATTAAATCAGTTTTTCTCTTTGTGATTAAAATGATCTCTGCACTCCCCCGCAGCCATACACAAGTAAACAAAGGGCCTCGCTCGCGCATATATTATAACAACCTTTCCCTCAATTGCGCATCTGTGCATGTTTTTGTGTGTTTCAGAGTGGTCGGTGTGTGTGAGGGATTTAAAAAAAAACAAAAAAAAAACAGAACAGTTTACTGGTTCATTAGCAACAGATTAGTGATGCTAATGACATGGATCACCACACACAGAGACGTTCTCTTTATGTGTCTGAAAGGGATACGAGACTCGCTATTAATTATTACTTTATTTTACCGGGAAAGACCCATTGATTTTTGAGATCTCCTTTACCGGTGTGACCTGAACAAAAACAGCACTAAAAGACATCGAACATAGAATTTCTGCAAAAAATAAAAATAAAAAATTGAAACCTAAGAAGAAAAATGTCCAAAGAATTAATTAAACAACGTAATCAATCAAAAGCAAGTTTTTTTCCAACTCAGTGTGAGTCCTTGGCAGCATCAATAGGAAAAGATTTCGCCAACATATATAGTATGATCCTACACTTTTCTGGATAATGAGTCAGAAGTAAGGGTGAATGGATTGCAGTTTTCTGGCCGAGCGCCGATTACCGATCTTTAAAAAGCCTGACCTGCAGATTCAGATTCTGGCAGATGCCATATATTTTTGTCTGAAATATTGTTAAATATAGCAAGAAAGTTGCTGAGCTGGAAACAGCGGCGGGTGACTATTGATAACTGCGAACGTGCAGACATGACCCGGTCTGTCAGTCAAATCTCTCTCATGGCAGAGTAAAAGAGGACAGCGGTTGATTTTTAGATCTTTGACAAGTTAGATAAAATCAATCAATAAGATCAGCTTCACATCAAAGTATCGGCTTATCACTGATCTCCCATAATTAAAGAAATCGGGGCCGACTTATCAGCTAGCTGATTTATCGGCTAGCTGATTTATCGGTGCGTGCCTACTCAGAAGACCAATGAATAATTTCATCTTCGCCCTGACAATGTAGATCATCCAACAGCAGACAGCCGTGGCCCTGTGTTTATGTGTGCGTGTGACATGTGTGAGCAGGTGTGTACACATTAGTTTAGCATAAATAACTGTGTCCGTTAGGGAACAAAAGTAGTGAAATACTAGAATAATAATGATCACAATTTGCATTTGTATGCTTCCTAATGTTGTAATTGCAGTAATGTCTATGAGCAGAGGTGTATTATAGTGTAATAATATTAGCATATATGCTGCTGTTTCTCTTGTGTGTTTGCATCATCCACACTTGCCCACCTGCACACACACACACAGCCAGGGCAACAGAGACTGCATGCACACACAACTACGTCCTGCTGACACGTGAGGATCCATTTGCTCATATCTGAAAACTTTGAAAATAAATATAAAATCATGTGTTTTTGTTATGGTCATGTTTCAAAAGGGAATCCCCCCCCCCCCCAAAAAAAAAAACCTTTGGCGCCATTTCTCATCTTCCTGGCTTCAAAGGTTTAAAGCTAAAACACAGTCAAATGTCCTACCTTCTGTCCCGGCTGCGGGATCTGTGTGAGCGGTGGCTTCTTCCTTTGTCTCTGTCTGCACTTCGGCTCCTTCTCCTGCGAGACAAACTCTGGGAGGAACTGCTGCTGGAACGCCGTCTTCTCCTGAAGCGGACACACGACAACCCGATTCAGTTTCATTCTACTTACTGCTTCCTGTTGAACTACAACAACTCTGCAGAGGAGTCTCGTTGCAATTCACAAGTTGTGGGCTTAATTCCAGTTATTTCCACATTTTGGTCTGGCCTTAGGGAAGGCACATTCGTGAATGCAGTTGGGAAAATGTTGTTTTAGTGTAAAGTGCTTTGCGTGGTCAGAATAACTAGAAAGATGCTGTTAATATTACACGGTTTTACATTTTTTCACAGATAAAAACCTGAAAAGTGAGCCGTGCGTTTGTATCGAGCCTCCTTTACTCTGATATCCCCAAATTGAGCCCGGTGCGCGCAAGTGTGGGAATGCTGGAGAGATCCACAGTTTAGATGGGAGGATCTGTCAGCAGGACAATTATTATGCCTACACTCCAAAAAGTTAGGCTTTGAAATAAGAGTGGCAAGAACAAAGCCTTTGCTGAAAGAGAACAAACAGAAGCTCAAATCAAAGTTTGCCACAAGCCATGCAGGCGATACATGAACCTGAAAAATGGTGCTCATGTTCGATGACCCCAACACTGAACATTTTCACCCTACACGCAAAAACAACATGCTTTGGAGAACAACTGCTGCACGTCATCCAGAACACACCATGCCCATGGAGATATTATGTTGCTGTTCTTCAGCAGGGATAGAGAAGTTGGTCAAAGATGAGAAGTTAAATGGAGCTAAATACACGCGAGTCCATGAAGAACATTTAAGAGATTTTTTTATTATTTTTACTTCTACCAAATGTTTCGACCTAAAAAGACAACTCTGCGCGTTTTGTTTTATTCACCAGTTTCCTGCAGCTCATGTGAAACTCTCCCCTTCCCTGAAAAACACAGGCAGCATTCCTTTTCAGCAGCTAATTCCAGAAGTAAGCAGCTCTGATAGCAACTTTGCATTAGTAAACACTCTCATCCATGGCCCAAGGCTGCAAAACCGCGCTGGCTGCACTACAGTTCCTCCACAGGGGCCCTTTGGTGCTCTTTAATGCAGCTACAGCAGCGTGTGTAGTGCCTGTTTTCCCAAACACCGCTAACACCATGTTTCTATTGATATCGTGAAGTAGGAGGCATTGACGAGGGTGAATGTAAATGCAGAAACCTCCGTCCTGTACTCCACAAACAGTTTGTGCAATACTCATTATCTGAAGTCTCTCCTTTTGGTTCACTAAAGCAAAAAAAAAAAATAAAATAAAATAAAATAACCAAACCTTCCAAAGCGCATCTTAAAAAAAAAAAAAAAAAAAAAAAAACACTACCCCCGTGGGGCCCCAACAAAAAAGAGAAAGGGGGGGGAGGGTAACAAAAAAAAAAA